TGGTTTGTAGTGATTATTAGGAATTCGGCAGTTTTTAGCGCGGCATGGCTGCGAAGCATCCTGCGGCTCTTCATGCGATCTGCCTAAAATAAACGAAGGGTCTCATTCCCATAATATTGGTGATATCTAAATCCAAAAGATTGGCATCGCGTTGCAAGCACAGTCCCAGCTTTCATTATTACTAAACAACCACTTCATAGGTAAATACAAGTGTAACAGCTTTCAGTTCAGGTCAATTCAGTTCAGTTTAGTTTACAGTTCAGTTTGAACGCCGCCTGATTAATATCTTTCCCTCTGGCGGTGACCACTTCGTCCCTGTAGCTCAGCTGGTTAGAGCGCTTGACTTCCATCCATGACGGGGTGGGTTCGAGTCGCCTCAGACGCTCGCTATTGGCCCCTGACTGGGGTGCCTGCGTTAGGTGGTAGCGGCAGCGCTAAAGGTCAGGTGACGTCAGGGCGCAGGACGGACTACTCAAGCATTGCGGCATGTAAAGCTTTCGTCGCAAAATTTTGCTGTTGACGCGAAACTTCACGATCAGTGCTCATGCAACAAGCACTGCTTAGCGTGGGCTTTGATTCCAGAATTACATCCAATAATGATACTAAATGGGCCAAAAACTAAGAACTAAATGTAAAAACACTGGTAGGATTGACTGAAGACCTCATCATTTCGCAGTTCCAGGTTGGCTTGTCGAATCCAGCATAGCTCCGTTACCAGCATGGTGGCGTGCCTGAGTTGTCACCGCAGGGTAATGTGATCTGTCAGCCAATGGGAGCCGGTCCATCCGTCGGTTCGACCGGCCCGGACGGCTCCGGTGCGACGATGGATGCCGCGCCACAAGCGAGGTCGGTTACCGCCGCCACCCCGTCACGAGCGGGATCGGCCACAGCGGCTACCTCGTCACAAGCGGGGACGGTCACTGCGGCCACCTCGTCACAGGCGGGATCGGTCACAGCGACCTCCTTATCGCGAGCGTGGTCGGTCACTGCGGTCTCCTCATCACGAGAGGGGTCGATCACGGCTCCCCTGCACTGAAGATCGGTGACAATGGTGATGTTAAGTGTTAATGAATTAAATATGAGATGGAGAAAAGTACAAAATATCACTGTGTGCCGACGACAAAAGTTGCCTTTATATGGAGACGTGAACAGTGTAAGAGCCGTCTTTCATGATGTTGGCGCGCATGCCAAGTTCTCTGACATACGACGCGATGTGGACAGCACGCGATGTACGCGGCCTCCACGGTGTTATGACGTCAGCGTACCAGACCAGAGCCCCAACCTGTGCAGACATCAGCCCTTCGCCGTGACAGCACCCACTCTGTGACGACGCCGACTCGTCATCGTGGCGGCATCCACTATGTGATGACGTCAGCCCCTCCCTGCGACAACCCCTCCAATGTGGTGCCGTCAGCTAGTCGCTGCGCCACCCCTCAGCGTGATGGCGTCAGTCCATCGCCCCGACAGCGCGGCGCTCTGTGATGACAGAGAGCCGCATGTAAACCGGGCCGGGATTCAGCGCCATTACACTAATCAGAGGGCGGAGCGGCGAGCCGGAGGCCGGGGAGGTGTCGCCGGCGGCGGCGCGCCTCGGCCGTTGTCGCTCGCGCGGCGCCGGCCCGGGCGCCGCCGCCGCCACCCGTCCTGGCTCGCATGATGGATGACGGATGGCCGAGGAGGCCGCTGCAGCCATTCACCATCGGCGCGATAGATGGCCGACGGCGGGTGGCGCCGCTCAGACGACGGGGGCCGGGTGCGGTCCACGGGACGCCCGGAGACGCGCCGGCCCGGCTTGCGGGCGGAGGGGATCGGTGGCCGGTCAGGAGGTGGTGGCGACCGGTCACCATGCGGCAGAGGACCTATCAAGAGGCGCCAGTGGCCGGTCCGGGCACATCAGTAGCCTGAGCTCGCGTGAACAGCGCGGACTAAAACAGCCGGTTCAACTGGACGACTCGGCGACAACCAAGCGCTGAGAAATGAATTGGTTCAGCTGACTGACCTGTTAACTGACCAATGAGCGCCTATCGAGGCAGATAAATGGGCTCAACTCACGGAAATAGAAAGTGGGATTCTGGCGGGCAGGTTTGCTCAGACAGGGCTTACCGGCTAAAGCTGTCGATAGATTGGCACCGGCCGGTGCTCAGGGATACAATGCCAGGACAGCTGGCCCGACTTGGTATGTTGCCACGGCTATAAACCCGTAACATATTGTCAATGCCATTCACAGTGCCGCATCGTCATTGGTATTTCAGGCACCACACGACTATTGCGGAGATGGAGTCAGACCTTTGTCATGCAACAGAACGTTGGCCCAGACCTCTGAACGCCCAGGTCGCCTCACATGCGGCGCTAACATTCAGGCTCCAAGTGATGTGATAACAAACGGCTGGAAAGCACGCCTCAGTCCACCAGGAGCTGCGCTCCATAGCTTTCATTTACTAACCTGTATCTCCCAGATCACTCCAAAGTTCCGTGCATAAACTTCTTTGATGACCCCGTAGCTTCGTCACCACACGGAGGACGTTATCTCCGCGCGGTGTGAGTTCTGCGCAGATCTTCAGAACTGCCCCACCCGCTTTTAGTGCGCTTCCCCATGCCAACTTTGCAAGCTGCCAAGCCTTTCTAGGAAAGCCGCTGCACGGCATTCTCGGTGCAGTTGTTAGGCCCACACAGAAGGAGCTCTCCAGCCGGGCCGTGCTCTGTCTCCAGGGCCATGGGGTTCGCCAAACTAGATGGCTCCCATGGACTACACAGCGAAACAAATGGGGAGGCTGCTTACTAAGATGATCGAGTACGCATTTGTTGTGTCCTTTACATCATGTGTTTGCTGCGTGCCAATCATGTGTTTATTCTGTGCTAGTTTTCTATCTATCTGATGTTTGATTGTTTTAGTTTATTTAAAATACGATAAATGGTATGATAACATAAACATAAGCGAAGGATAACTGGATAAGTCAAACGACTCAAATCTGACCACCTCTTCCAAAAGAGGAAACAAAACAGAAAACAACCTAACCGTCTGTCCTGTGTCTGTTCTGCTACTAACCTGTGCCTGCTCTGTGTCCGCGCTGTGTCTGTGCCGTGTCTCTACCGTGTTTTCACTTCATTTGTGCTGCCTGCGCTTTGTCTATGTTTATTCTATGTCTCTGCCATGCACACTCCGTGTCTGTCATGTGCATGCTCTTGACTGCCCCGTGTCTGTCCAGTGTCTGTAATCGTTCGCCACTAGCCTGTTCTGCGTCTGCCTGTGCCTTGTGTTCGTAAGAGCGTGGGTTGCATCCGAAAGCGCCGGCCTCGTACCCAATACATGTGCTACGGACGGCCCCGTGCCACCCAGATACCGCGCCCGTGCTGGGCTGCACCAGCCGCCCAGCACTGAACCGACAGTTATCCGTCGGGCCACACTCTGTTTGGCCAGCCTGGGTCCGCGTCGCGGCCGACGACCCGAGTGGACCGACTTTGGCGCCTTTTAGCGAGCGTAAACGAAGCCGCCCCAGCCGGGGACGGGAGAGTGAGGCCGCCGGACGTCCGCTGCCATCTCCGCAAGAAACTGGAACACCGTCTTGCGTTTAGACTGCGGGAAGTGTGGGAAGTTTACAGCCTACTGGCTTGACTTTGCTGCAATATTTGGATGCTCTTCTTGGGATGAACGAGGCGTTGAGTTTGTCAGACATTTTTGATACAAAATGGTAAGTAGCTTACAATAGCTCTCTGACGAAGGAGTAATTGTTCACCTCAAACTCATCATGCGGCGTGTTCGAAAACATAGTTAATTGGGAGACATTGTACTTAAATATTCGTTCAGCGTTATGCTCAAGAGTCAGCGTGTTGCTTTGGCTGCTTATCAGTTGCGCATACCTCAATTATCTTTAAAGTGCATCTTAATAGTTTGCGCGAGGGCTTATTGCGTTCTTTTCAGCGCGTCTCAACATAGTCAAGAAATCTCCCACGTGCATTCATGCTTTTGGTGGTTTAACCAAATCTCTAATGTATAAAGCAGCTCGCTGAACCTAGGCGAGTCGGTGGCGACAAGGATCTGACTGAGGTTGAAACGAATCGGTCTTATTTCTGACATTTTTTTAAAAAGCATTGTAAAGCTGCTTGATCCATTTTCCTTAGCAATGTTGTTAAAACCTTGACCGCTACACACCTTTTCAAACATATTGAAATATTCGAAAGGATGTCGCACAGAATGCCGTCATTAAACATCTGACACGTTACTACTGTTCATATCTTTTGACATAAATCTGCATAGAAACAAATTGACACACATTACTTAAATTAGTTGCCAATCAAGTTGTAAAAAGAGCGAATAATGAAAATAGTGTACATACCTTTAATAACCGTATGCCATTCCTGAGCTCGCTTGCCTATGCAATCAATACAAAGTTCCATTATAATTTGTACTTGTATTAGATAGTCAGGGTTATTAACTCCCATGACGTTTGAGTGGTCATTTGAAGTGCGGGACACATCAGGATAAATTTTTTGAAGTTAGCGTTAATTTGAACTGCAAAACAGTCAGACGGGGAACAAAACAGCTGCTATGTACCATTGGTAATGTGCTATCACTAAGTGATATTCTGATAACACTCATGGTTAAAGTCCAGTGAGGTGGAGTAAAAAAGGCGACGTCGGCACAACTTTTTCGGTGTACCAATATCGCAAACGTGATAACAATTTGTCCGAGACGACCGGACAGGCCAATCCTAAGATATAACGTGACAGAACTTAACGTGATATACGCTAAAGCTGCAAATCCGATAGCCCGCTGCCGCATACCGTGCTATTTTTGACTCTATAGCATCAAATGCTGGAACCGCAGGGGAACCTATCCCCACCCGGTACGCCGCCGAATGAGACAAAGCTAGTGGAGCTGATGAGGTCTGAGGAATGAGGACAACACCTGGGACTGTCAGGTGTAGCAATTCGCATAGGCAGACGTGTGATGTTTGCAGCCTCTCGGATCTGTGTCACCAGCATCTGCCTTATCCCAACAGGTGTCGACCACTGGGGCGTCTTGAACCCGAACTGGAAAATCTGCAAGTGCGGGCGGAAACAGTCACCGATCAACTTTGAACCGGACCGCCTGCTGTTCGACACACACCTGCGGTTTGTGCACGTGGATAAGCACGAGGTCAGTGACCTGCACGCCTGAATCTGCGCCTGTGCCTGTGCGAGGGTGGTTCGGGCTTTTGGAAAAATAACGGCTCAGTGACCTTCATGCACCTAATGGTGATTTGTGCCGTTGAACAAACAGAGGCATCAGCGGCTTCAAAATTCCCACACGATTTGGAAACCTAAACGAGCACCGGTTAGATGACCTCTAAAAAACGCACTGGAGACTCACACAGACCAAAAAGCGTTTCTACCACCTACGCAGCGCATCTGCAGCTCATGTTCAATGGCATTTTATTTACGCGGAAAAAAGACAGATCACTGACCTCTGCAACACACCCGTAATTCACTTTTAAGCTCATTCATAATATGCTCCCCTTATATGCCTTTGTAAACTATATTAATCCTAACTTCCACTTAGTAAGATTTCACTTAGTAATAGGTCAGCAGTGGTACGTGGACAAACACCGGGTCAATGAACTTAACGCCACGCCGGCGTTTCCTTACGCACATGTGAACGTCAGCGGGCCAGTGACCTCCACAGCTGCACCAGCGATGGATAACGCTGTCACATGCGACAGCAACTGCTCTGTTAGTCTGTTTATAAAGCCATCCTACCTTCTGAAATGCTCGGAGAATTCCGCGGCCTAGGGTGCCTTTGCTGACATTCCTGTAGTGGCAGTGTGGTCATGCCTATTAGGTTCTATTACGTCAAGTGCCTGCGTAAATAGGGGCGCCTCAAGCATGTCTTTCAAAGCCGTCTCGTCGCCTAATTAGACTCTCATTCAAAAGCCAGATAAAAGGACTGGAAGTGCACAGATCAAAAGACGCTCCGGCACACATTAATGGTCTGCCTACTTGCGTATGGCAGAGGCAGCGCGCCCGTTAACTAAACACGAGAAGCTGCTGATGTTATTCACGGGACCACTAAACGCGCGTCGCCGGCCACTTAACCTGGACGTACCTGCTTTGGATCACGCTGGCTTTGCTGTTGCTGTTATTTATGATGGAACGATTGAAATATGATCAATACATGATAGATAAATAGGCTCAATGCGGGGTCAGTTCCGTTTGCTCTGTCCACCAGCAGTTCATAAATGGGCGGGAGCGTACGAGCCCGCGTCCACGTGACCCGATTCACCCCCGCCAGCTTCGAAGGTCACCTCACCAGCTCCAGCGTAGAGGTCTCTAGTGCGAACCCCTCGCCGATTCCACACATAATGTGCCACAACAGAAGCAAAGCAAAAACGAAACGGGCGAGAGGCTTCTTACGCAGTATGCAACTGATATCAAATCATTTTGCAGCGTCTCTTCCGGCTCTTGTATTCGTTTGAGTGATACGAAGTCATATTACGTGTTACGATCATATGACGAGCATTCGGCCTTTGCTTCGTAGCTTGGCATTTGAGAAGCCTTCGTGTCCGCGATGAACGGCCGATGCTATCGAAAGCGTGCCGCCGGTACTCTTCCATTGTTAGATGTCTGCTAACGTTGTTTTGGGCAGTTTTGAGGACTTGAACTGACATGTCCTTAGCATAAGCTGACACGCTGCCAGTTGCACCTCATTAACTTTGGTTCGTGATATGCCACTTGGGGGTAAAATGTATGCCATTTTCAAGATTTGACTTCATGTGAACTTGACCTCGGTTGAGCTTGCCAAGCGAGGTTTTAGGTTGATGACGTGATATGTTGCATGTGTGAGAGATCCAGTGGCATTAGCTTATTTAATGTAACGCCACAATGCAATATTCCCGCAGAGCTACTGAGATACTGCATGCCTTAGTGAAGGGGTTCCGGGGTCAAATACTCCTTTTACGGCGCGTCTTTCGCAAGCATATCGCCACAGATGTCGCGCCAGAGTTGGTGCATTCCTTCACGGCTGTCACCACAACTATTGATCGCATCCGACTTTAGGGATTTTCAACCAGGCTACAAGCTCCTGGTCGGGTCATCAATTCTATCCTGATCATCAGGCGTCAGCTCACATACCCTGACGTGGCCTCCCATGGGAAGAACTGACTCGGCTGGCTAGAACGTCTCTCAACCGACCCTACCTGACCCCGCCTGATCTTTCTGTGTGCAGATAAGTGGGACGCTGAACAACACGGGTCACGACGTGACCTTCTTCGCCGACCAGAGGTCGTCCTCGCCCCTGATGGTCAGCGGCGGTCCGCTCTCCTATCAGTACAGGTTCGAGCGCTTCCACCTGCACTTCGGCACCGTGAAGCACCAGCGGTCCGGCTTCGAGAACGCCACCGGCTCCGAGCACCGCGTGGACGGCCAGCAGTTTCCGGCAGAGGTCAGAGGCAGTGCTCTGACCCGGGGTCGGGTCAGATGTCGGGCTTGGCGGAAGCGATTGGGAGGCGGGGCTTGACTGGGGCCACGTTAGAGGTAGAACTCGACGGTTCAGGTCCGAGACCGGGGTGAGAGTGGTCAAGTATGAGGCCGGGGCTCGGCGGAGGTCGGGTCAGGGACCGGGGCTAGGCAGGGGTCAGGTCAGAGACCGGGGCTCGGCAGAGGTCAGGTCAGAGACCGAGGATCGGCAGGGGTCAGGTCAGAGACCGAGGCTCGGCAGGGGTCAGGTCAGAGACCGAGGCTCGGCGGAGGTCGGGTCAGGGACCGGGGATCGGCAGGGGTCGGTCCAGCGACCGGGGCTAGGCAGGGGTCAGGTCAGAGACCGGGAATCGGCAGGGGTCGGTCCAGAGACCGGGGCTCGGCGGAGGTCGGGTCAGGGACCGGGGATCGGCAGGGGTCGGGTCAGAGACCGGGGCTCAGTAGGGGTCGGAGCAGAGATCGAGGCTCGGTAGGGCTCGGGTCAGAGACCGGGGCTCAGCGGTGGTCGGGTCAGAGATCGGTTCCCGGTAAAGATAATGTGGGTCAGGTCGAAGATCGGTTATCCACCGGGGACGGGTAGGAGTCTTAAAGGTCGGTCGGGAGCGGAGGCCGGGGTCGGGGGCCGAACGGGGAAATGTCAGGTTCCACGGTCCCAAAAAAGTCTGCCAGCGTGGAGCACTCGACACGAAGACCTTAACTGCTAAATGTGATGATCAATCACAGTATTTTTCTCGTAAAACAAATGGAAGGGAAGACTGAGCATCTGATCGTTTCAAACAATCTGAATGAGGACTGTCCCAATGCATTCCGTTCGTTGCCGAGTCGTCAAGCATGACAAACTTTTCAATACTAGAACACGTAAACACACGAAACTTATCCTGCACAACATGCCGACTGGCGCACCCTTGCATTCTCGGACTGGCCATCGGCCGAGCGGTATGCCAGGCAGCTTAAAATGCACAGCATTCGTACACTCTTTGAAAAATGTTACATCGCTCACCCCGTCATCATGTGACCGGATGATATCACGTGGGCCTCGGTCGCCCGGCCGGCTGTGCGAGCGGCACCGCTGTGTCAGTCAGCGGCGCACCCGACCACGGCGCGTGAGGGGCACCGCCGCTGCCGCCACAGTGCACTGCCATCAGCATGTAAATGCGCGCCGTTAGGAGGCTGCGCTGGGGCGGAGCGGCTGTTTGGCGATGCCGTCGGCGGCCCAGGCGGAGACCTCACCCAACTGCCGGCATTATCGCCATAAAAGACGACCGCCGTGCCGCCGAACTGCGTGCGGATGCCCGCGGTCCGGCGCACGCGGACGGTCCCGAGGCGGCGAGGCCGGCCCCAGCCGAGTCAAGAGTCGCGCGCCAAGTGCTCCCGGTTGACTGAGGCAGCCAGATAATGCCACTCTTTTCAGGCCCTGAGACGAAGGAATGATCCGTCCTCAAGTCGCTGGGCCGCATGCAAAGGAGCGTTTCGAAAACACCAACTCAAGCGACGGGGAATTGATGGCGCTCTGAGATGGAATAGACAACCCGACTGCATGTCTGTTGTGTTTCAGATTCAGCTGCTATGTTACAGCAGCCTGTACGACAGCTTCGAGAAGGCCGTCCACCAGCCGAACGGTGTGGTGGGCATCGCTATTCTTATTCAGGTACGATGGGCTGTTCTACGGGCATTAAAACGCAGTACGGAACTCAGCTAAGTGGTCAAACAACCCAAGCGCAGCTTGAGGCTTCGAGCGCTGGCAATGTAGCATTTTGCTTGATAACGTCTTTGAATCGGTGCTTCGTGATATATTAAAGCTAGATAACTGTCAACAAAAGAACTCTGAGCTCATAAAGACTGGATTCAGGTTTCAAACCCTTCGGTTCGGACATGAGCCGCAGTTTTCGCACACTTAAGACGTCCTTTTGAAGGCGAGATATGTCAGCTGCTTTAATAGCTTTCGGTCATTAGTGTTGATCGTATCGATCACAGCATCTTATATGTGCATTACCAAAACCTACGACAGTTGTAAGATAGGGTAGGCGCTGCCAAATCTAAGAGTCTTGACATTGATGCATTTGAAATGAGCACGACATTCTTCGAATGACAAGGTACGCTTCCTTTCTTGAAAAATGTTGTAGAATCTCCTTATTTGTGTCAAGAACATCCTTAAGCAGAGTTTATTATGCACACCATGAGCTGGCCATCACAAATGGGCTGCCGTGATTCACCGGTAAATGGTGACTCCATCCTTTCACGAGAAAGGCCAGGTTGGTTTTCGCCAGTTTGGCTTTACGTGCGCTGCTGCGACAAGATGGACAAGCTTTCTCTCCTTGACCCGCTGCCAGCTGGCCTTCCTATGTCAGTCTCGCCAAACAGTACGTCCAGTCTGAGTCTCGCCTAGCCCGAGTCTCCCCAGACCACGGAGACAGCAGACGTGGCGGGGCGTCTCAGGATCGTTCTCAGTCGTTGTGAGAGTATCCGAGGTGGTTCAGCAGGATGTTTAATCCGCGCTCATTGGCGATAACCCGTGTCTCACTCGAATCAATGCAGTGCGCTCTCTTATTTCCTCTTTTTAATCTTCTATCAGTATTTCCGACTCATTGGTCCGTTACAGGTAAACATGGGCACGACGATAATCATCTGAGCACTAACCGAACACCATAAGTCAGCCGGTCGTTATCCACGATCACAAACACATCGCGTCTGCCTCGTCTTTTTTCGATCGATCAATGGACATCGGACTGATCAGTGTTTGTCCAGGACTGATCTGTGTTTGTCCAACACGAGAAGTGCTTGGCCTGATCATCGGAGCCAGTTTCTCGGCTCGGTTGAATATCTTGGTTTAGTCTTGCTTTACTATTTTTATGTCGTTAGAAGGTCATTCAGCTGGAATGGATGTACATGACGTATTGATGTGTTGGCTAGCTGTATCTGATGCCCTTCTCGGGTTGAGTTTTTTCGACAGCCTTAGGGGGCAGCACCACAAGGCTTCTGTACAGATACCAAATCAACACTACCGACAGTTTCTTAGTCTTTGAGTCCAAATCACTTCACCAGCTGCAGAAAATCCGTTTGTGACGTATGTAGTTTAGCTATAAGTCACTCGATCCCTTATGTAATTAGGCCAAGGAGCTCAAGTGACCCTTGTTACGCAGACTTACTTAACTCTTCATACACAAATACCTTCACTCTTGTGTTTATATCTGTTTTATACAGCTCATCGGGCGTGCTTCGCCACTTCTCGCAGTCACTGTTTGGGAATCAGCATCGTATCACAAACTGACTACGCTAGTGTCATAACTAACTTTACTGGGTGAAGTCTGACGGAAGTGAAACTGTAGATCCAAGGTACTCTCTCACCAACTCTCAATTATAATACATACTGCGTGGTTTAAGCATTTGAGAAAAACCGACGTCACCAACGTAGGCCCAGATAATCTTAAACCTCTCCAAGGCTGCTCACCGCGTTTCAGACGGAGGCTCCAAAAAGACTCTAAAAATGTCGTCGCCATAAAAGTAAGAGAACTTGGTGCCACCTCATTTCCCATGCATTGGCTGCAGCAGTAAAGCGCGGTACGGAAGGGGAGGGCAGGGAAGAGGCTCTCCAAACGCCGGCCACAGAGACGGCCAACTCGGCGGCGAACCCGGTGTGGCCAAATTGTCGCGGTCAAAATGGCGCGACGCATAGGCATTCCAGACATTTTATGGCTGCGGCAAGTCCTATTTCGGGATGTCTGCGCCATTGCGGTAGCGTTGAGTGTCGGTGACAGTGCAGAAAACGTCTGAAGGTGACGAAAATGTTTGCCTTGGACTAGTCGGTTCTAAACGCACTGGGTGAAAAACGTGAGAGAATACGGCCCTGCTTTAAGGCTCTTGCAGGCGAAAAACATTCAGTTCGTTGGCGTCTCCTCTATGACGTTGCCTAACGTTAAAAATTCCATGAAGCTGCTGCACGCTTTCGTGGTAAATCTTAATTGGGAGTAACATTATGATATACGATCACAGCACAAAACGACTGAAATTAGTGAGGGACTTAATGAAATGTTACACCTGTGCAGCCCGTAAGAGATGAATCTTACTAGCTCGCTCTTAACAAAATTGCCTTCCGTGATACTCATTGCACATTATAACCTGACTTTCGGTTGCCGTTCGAGCAACTCTCACAATCGAGAATTATCCATTTCCGTCAAAAGAGTTGATATTAAACTGACGAAGTTAAAGCAATCTGCAGCTTCTAACCTCAGGCACGGCAATCCCAAAACAAAACATAGTCGCCGTTCCACGCTCCCAATCCCCTTTTCAAAAGCATCGACCCGTGACGAAATGTTCCCCTATTGGCAACGCTTGTAAACTGTTGACCATCACGCGCAGTGAGTCTATTCCGTTTTCTCCGTCGCAGATGGGCGACGAGCCAAACCGAGGGCTGCGGATCATTACGGACGCCGTGACCAGGACCACCTACAAAGGTAACCGCTCCGGTGCAGCGTGCTGGTGACCTCAGGCTACGGCCGCTTAAAACGAGCAGAAGCGACAGTGATGTAGGGTGCTGGTGGTGACGCCAGGCTTTACGCACTTGCAGGGAGAAATGCTACAGTGATGCGGGTAGGCGTGTGCAGGAAGTCGCAAGAGGGGAATACAGCTCTACTTTTTCACCAAAAGAACATTTTAGCGTATCGTGGGCGCAAAAAGTTTCTTGCATTAAACAAAGCGGCATGTTTTCTATCAAATCATTTCGGATATCTACCTGCATGGGTGTAATCGTGGGGATTTGGGCTGGATGACATTTCTCCCCCTGATTATCCGAAAATGAAACATTTTGTTCTCTATTTCTAGCTGAAGAATGTATACTTTAACATTTTCCATTCACAATGTCATTTTCACGCCAGGTTATACCCTCCAGAATTCAGTTTGATCTTCCAATCCTGGTTTGTCTCCTTTCCCAATTTCAGAGGCATGGTTACAGACACGTATACCTCGTTTTTTAGTCGCGGACTTTTACTTGCATCCATACATGCATCAATTTTATACGGAAAGGGGCGACGTGCCCCGTTGTCCCCCCCCCCCCCTCCCTCCTTGGATGCGCTGCTGGTGGTGCGACTTGCAGTTGGATCATGATAGATCAGCGACTGCACCGCTAGCGTCCGTACAAGCAGTTGGTGACCAGAGACTGAGCAACCACAACTGTACCGTGCCTGAGGGCGTGGTCACGGAGACTGAGCGACCACAACTGTACCGTGCCTGAAGACGTGATCACGGAGACGGAGCGACCACAACTGTACCGTGCCTGAAGACGTGATCACGGAGACGGAGCGACTTTTGAGCCCCCAAACTTTTAATCGATAGGTTTTGGAATCAGAGCCCTGGGACCTTTCCGAGATAAGGGACACTGAGAACACGTGTCCGTTTTAAGTGAAGAAATGTCGACAATTAAAAAACCGCATGGGCGCCTTCTGATTATCTAACAAAGGGTCTTATCCTAAACAGGGCCTCCTGTTCAAGGAAGGGGCCTCCTGATGCATAGAGTTATCCTAATCCAGAACACGCTTTCAATGCTTTCCATTCACGAAAGGGCCTCCAAATATACCCCGGGGGCCTCGTTATCTCAAAACAGGTCATCCTGATCCGGAGCCATGCCCATTGGACATATGAAAGGACAATACGGAGGATGCCCCCTAACCCATAAAAGGGCCTCCTAATTTGAAATGGGTCCTCCTGAGCCAAAAAGGAGGCCTCATTAACATACATAGGGCCTTTACTCCCAGCTGGGCTTCGACTGATTGGCCTGGGCTTCCTTAACAAGGTGTTACGTTTAGTTTGGGAAAAAGGGCCTCACAAAAATTTGGAGAGAAAAAATCATATTCTTGCTCCCCTTACTACCAGCAGGGGGCAACTGCCCCTCTGCTCCCCCCCCCCCCCTCTCCCTTCCTCTCTGCTACGCCGTCTTTGGCTTCGATCCCAACATCCGATCGTGGAACTCGGGCTCAACGACATAATTGTGTGACAAAGTTTAGCGTACCGCACTGTTCGGCGCGGTCTGGCGGACTTTTCCGTAGGCAGCTGCTACATTGGTACAGCCTTTTAGCTCCTTTTACCCGCACTTTGCGGGCTTGCGAGCTTTAAGGTGGCGTTTCTAACTCACGTCCATAAGTGGCAGTGCACATTCTGTCCACCTCACGCCAGGTATAATAATGGCCTGACTATAGGTGTTCACTGGAGGCATTTTCTCTGCATCACGACAATTTTCATGACAGTTTTGAACGATATGGTGTGAAATCCCCGTTAACAGTCGCGAAAAGTGCGATGAATATTTCCCCAAATTTTTTTGCATGCGCCAAGTCCGCCTATTTCTAAAACACAATGGGGGCCAACAAAGAAAGAAGGAAGCCTAGTGCCGTGGCGGTGTGGAGGTCTATCACACTTTTTTCAGCGATGTCCGAGTACAGTGGTGTGTAACTATGTGTTTTGAGCGTAATGTTGTGGTGTATGGTTCCACTAATGTAACAATACCGGCCAGCAGCGCGCGTTCCGCGGCACTGACTGTCGCCGCCCGCCGCCCGCGCCGGCCCTAGATCGCCGCGCAGTGCTCCTCAAAACCGACGCTGCTCCGAAATCAGAAAAGCTAGGAACACGTTGGTGTTGCCAAAATACGTACAATGGATGCCCCATAGGTTATTTAAGATTTTGGCTTAATTTTACAATGTGCCAAAGAGGTACCTTCAAAAAAACATTAAGGCAGTCGCATGGACCCCTATCAGGGCGAGCGTCAGTGCAACAGGGGAAGTAAACTCGTCGTGATGTTATAATGCTGCGATAAAAAACCGTCTTGTAAAACAGCTCACATGAAACTGCCCGATTGATTGCACTGCGTAGTTTTCAAAGAACTGTGCTTCACATTTCTTAAAGTAGCGCATAAACCCAAGATAGTGATTGTAAAATGTTACCTTATATGAGGCGTGACGCCTGGGCTGCTCATTTAGGACATTATAGCTCATGCTGCACTCACTTGGCTGGGAACCTTGAACGAAGCAGACAGATCCCGGTGATTCATGAGTGTCTGCTACGTCACGTGCGGTTCGGCTTTGTCACGCGCACTCACCGCGCCGTCTCCTGGTCAATGTGCGCCGTCCCGCCTCGGGCCCAGGCAGACCCTACCCTACACCGAGTCAGACCGTGTCCTGCACGTAACCAGACCCTCCCCTACACGGAGTCAAACTCTCCCTTCATATAGTAAGGGTCTGAGTACGTGTAGTAAGCGTCCCTTCCCCACACGCAATCAGACTCTCCCCTGCACGGAGTCAGACCCTCCCCTATACGCAGTCAAACCCTCCCCTGCACGGAGTCAGACCCTCCCCCATACGCAGTCAAACCCTTCCCTGCACGGAGTCAGACCTTCCCCTATACGTAGTCAAATCCTCCCCTGCACGGAGTCAGACCCTCCCCTGTACGCAGTCAAACCCTCCCCTACACCGAGTTAGATCCCTCTCCTGCACGTAATCAGACCCTCCCCTACACGGAGTCAGACCCTCCCTTCAAAGAGTGAGGGTCTGGGTACATGTAGTAAGAGTCTCTTCCCTACACGTAATCAGACTCTCCCCTGCACGGAGTCAGACCCTCCCCTATACGCAGTCAAACCCTTCCCTGCACGGAGTCAGACCCTCCCCTATACGCAGTCAAACCCTTTCCTGCACGGAGTCAGACCTTCCCCTATACACAGTCAAACCCTCCCCTGCACGGAGTCAGACCTTCCCCTATACGCAGTCAAACCCTCCCCTGCACGCAGTCAGACTCTCCCCCATACGCAGTCAGACCCTCTGCCACACGTAGCCAGACCGTCCGCCCCACGAAGCCAGGTTCCGCGGCCTATTGAGCCCTGATGGCCGGCAAACGCCGAAGCCGTGTCCTCGTTAGATGCTGTCGTCCGCTGCTGCCTGCCATCCGTTTCACTGAGCGACCTCGCGCGGCCAACGGCGACGGCGCCGGCGACGCTCGGCCCGGCCTCATTTCACTAACGCGCCTGGCGCGCCCTCCGGGAGCGCCCAGCTAATGAGCCCCGCAGGAGGGCCGACTCCTCCAGGCCGGCTGGCCCCGAGCTCAGGCCGGCCGGGCGCCAACCACCGACGCCGCTCGGCCGGTGGCCGCTCTGGATCGGCTCGAGTGCTTGTTTGCCGGGCCGGAGCCCCGAGCGCGCGCAGCCGACGCGCAAACAGACGGTGAAATGCCACGACTTGTGTAGGATTGGGAACAGTCACGGTAGTGAGCGCGCTAATTTAGATCAAGTTCTGCTTTGGAAAGGCGACATTGGGGCGTGGGATTGTAATTTCAGGTAGATGCCTCGCCGTTTAACATAAATGCAGATTAGAGCAGAAACACCAGCATCTTACCATGTTTTATTCCAGCTTAACTTGCAGGAGCGCCATCTCGGTCACCGTGAGCCCTGAAAATACATTTTATCGGTGCAGATGAGAATGCGGCCTTATCCTGTGTTGCATCGATATCATGTTCTTCGGACTCCAGTGCAGTCTACAACCGGTGCACAATTTACTCCTACGCTACTCCGACAAGCTATATGCATACCAGCTCCAAACGACCCGATGCTAAACATGGCTGCAGGCCAGCCCCACAACGCCCGTCACCCTTCCTCAGTTAATGGCGTGCCGGAATAGACTCGCGCCCTACGCGTCGGTCGCTTTATTTGTTATCATTTGCCAGTGTGCCAGAGCAGAAAGCTGTGCATCTCTGAGACAGGATATGCATATTTTTGTGTGCAAAAATGTTGCAAAAATGGCACCATGAATGCATCAGCTAAAGGCCAGCCAAGCATCGGGATGAGAACAAGGGAGGCGGGTGGGTCCGTGATGCCATGGCACTCCATTTCCATACTCGTATTTCCTGAGCATTTCCCCTACGGTGACGCATGCAAATATGGTGGTGTAGTAAAAGTATGTGGATAGACGTATGTAAATCGACTCCAGTTACTCTCGGTTTCAGCACCGTCACCTTCTGAGACGATGCTTTGCCTACGCATCCGAGTAGACTAAGACTTGAAGGATCAGTGTTCCCACCCCAGTGCTCCAAGGATTAGTCGCTGGGCAGGCATTAGGGACCGATGACTGAGAGTGATGAAAGGGGATGGTTGTTTACAGTGGAGTTTTTCATAGATATTTCATGTTTACACTTAACACTATGTAAATAGATATCCACCTTACGCATCACACATATTGTATTTAGATTTTCACATATTACTTATTGTAATGCATGAAGATGGAAATGCCGCTTCCGGAATAAAAGCGCGATTATTGACAACATAGGTATTACATTATCCTTTCAATTTGATCTAGAGAATCGATATGACTGGTGACGTGTTAATTCTTTCGTTCCCTTGCTTGGTGACCTTTTGCGTCTCTCTTTTGGGTTTTTCTACGCTTTATGTACGCTTCATAATCTGCGTCGTACTCGTATTTCCCACTAAAAAGCCACTGTTCTGGTCAAGTGATTGTGCCTTCCTTCACGTCTTTAATACAGCTGCTTCTATTCGAACTAGGCTAAACAAGAAGAAGCACAATCATCGTTTTGCGTTGGTCAGTACGAAAAAGAGAAATGCGCGCGTGCTAGAAACTTAAGACGCATGTGTATGGCAGTCGGCATGATGTACAGTTCTGCAGGTGTTACCATACTGAAAACGTACAAATCCACGCTACAAAAAAGCATGAGAAGCCCAACAGGCGAAATCTTTCAGAAGTTGGCCGCTCTTGTAGTTCGTACACCTAAAAGTGGTACTGAATACATGGCACAAGTTTGTGTATTACCTGAAATAAGCTACGCATATCCCTGATTACTTCGCTGATAATCGCTGGGGTGCCAGGGGTGTGGCGATGATGATTCGTTGTTCAGCGCGCCGCCGTGCTGGCCGCCAGACGACTCGACGCCGCTGGAGAGCATCTCGCTGCATCTGCTGCTGCCCCAAACGGAGCAGTTCCTGACATACGAGGGCTCGCTCACCACTCCGCCCTGCTACGAGACGGTCACCTGGATCGTCTTCAACAAACCCATCTACATGAATCGGCAGCAGGTGGGCGGCGCGTCCCGGCCCGGCCGGCCACTCTGGCGCCAGTGTTTCGTCTTCTCGAGAATGGGAAATGCGTTGTCGTCGTTTCAGACTGTGGCGCTATGCTTGCCAAGTGTAACCCGAGCAATGCGGGAAGACCGCGGATAGGCAACCGAATTAAAACGCGGAGGGCGCTTAGCAAAATCAGACAGCGTCGGGCCCGGGAATGAGCGCGACTTCCCGTGCTGGCAGCTACACATGCTGAAGCGACTGAGGAAGAGCACCGCGGTTGAGAAGCTGGGGAACAACTTCCGTCCTCCTCAGCCTCTTCATCACCGGGTCGTGAGAACCAACATCGACTTCAGACGAAAGGTAACTCACAATGATACGCATGGGATAGCTAATCTATAAAAAAAACGCGACCTGGGATAGCTGCGGTCGCCTAGAGCTGTCTGTCTCCTGCAGTTGGCACTGTGCGAATGCATGCGTTAACGCACGTCAGCCTATGAATAGGTTTTCCAGCAACTTCGACTGTCATCTAAAAACCGCAGTGTGCGCCCCTCAATGTATTAGCGTAATAATCAATATGAATATAGATGTCCAGCCTTCATATTGTTGTGATATTTAGTCTCGGATAGTTGATATTGGTTTTGATTTAAAGTGCGAAACTTCCAATTCTAGTAGCTACGGAATGGTCGAAACTGTCATACATGAGCAGTCAAAACCCTATGTGATCCAACGAGCATGTCGGTACTCGCTTCTTTAGCAAACCAAAATGCATGCAGAGAGGCGTCACTTCTGATATACAGGATGTGGGTTCGAACCTGGCTAACGGCAAGTGTTTCGTCTTGTTAAAAGAGTTGAAATCGTCAAAGCTGTAAAAAAGTATTGTTCTCAACAAGCGAAATGACATTTCACCTGGCTGGTCAGCGCCGATGTCAGCACAGAGCCTAACTTGATTTGCAAATATGCCATCCCGCGGTGGCTGGAAGCATTGCGGCACAGTCTGTCGCGCCGGGCGGCGGCACGCCCGAGGTTTGATCAGCGCGTTTGTGTTACAGGTCGGAAAAGGATGCCCTTCAATGAAACGTGAAATGGGTTATAAAGGTGAGCCATTCCCCTCAATCATTCATGGAAATTTATTGGACGGGAAGCCATCTGTTCTCCTATTGGAGGCTATTTACATAAGATGCGAGTAAGGCGCGTTTGTGGTGATATATTTCCCTTCGCTTTACAGCCAGCAAGTGGTTGGGAGCCTGAAGAGCGGTTCGACCAATCTTCAACTTTGGTCAACAAGTTGAGCAATACTGGCAATACGATTGCAGTACTGAGACGGGAACAGCAATACATTGTGCTCACGATAAGATATTTGAAGCTTTACAGTGTATACTCCTGCTTGCCCCAGCCAATTCTCGCTTGGTCCAGGAAAGCTGCTAATCAATTACAGAGAACAGGAGTTTTGTTTAGTTTGCAAGCGAGCTTTGATATTGAAATTCGCAATTGTACGAAATGCCTTGTCATAGATGATGCCCCATGGTGCAACTCCAATTAGTGTTTTGATGTATTCGTGTCCAGACCAGACTTAATAAATGCAATACACCGTGCTGAAAACCAGGCATTACAATATGCAATTTGGCCTTGGTGAAATGAATGCGTCAACCTGGCTACTTTTTACCAATGCTGAAATGTTTTATGAATCGCGTTCATGTTTCGGAACGAGTGTATCTAATCTGCTTGAGATTCACTTCCAACTTCAAAGCTCGCACATTGGAAATCGTACGACTCAATTTGATCCACCGGCTGAGAACCGTAGCGATTTAGACGGCGCGTCATTTGTGTACGATGCATGTACTAGGCCCGCCGTGGTCCTAATCTCTGGTGGGTGGGTGGGGGCTGGGCGCGCTGGCTTATGGAGAACTGTGACCAATGTGCACTGCCGCGAGGGGCACCCCGTGTAGGCTTGCACCGCAATGTCATTGGGTGTCGACGTGCCTATGTCATGCCATCACACCTTTCAAAGCGTACTGGCTGATTTATGTGCTGTTGTTGCGCTGCTGGTGTGACATAAACGTACACGAGTTGGTGAAACTGTCTAGTGGTTAGAGACTTTGGCTTCCCGGTTTGGGGCCCGGGCTCATCTGAGTTCGGGTTGCGCCGTGATCGAGTGCTGATATGGCCAATAGCACCCTGTAAAGATGGGGCACGATGGCGCACGTGTCTGTTTTCTTGGCACAAAACATACAAAACGATTATACCCAGAACAGGTAAAATTGAACTGAAACGATTGAGCGAAAATATCAGAGATCACCTCTGGCAATATTACTTCCTGCAGATCCTCAGAAATTGCTGCACATCTGTAATTCAGGTAACAGAGCATATTTACACATTTCCTTTCCTTTCTGGCATGTGGACACAGCGGTGTGCATTTTCACCGCATGCTGGACGTTATTGGCACCAAAAGGATGTTGTCATTTGGGATCTAACACACTTTACCATATTTTCCCTTCCCTGTCACACCATTTTATGAGCGAGTGCTTCCCTTTGATAAGGTATAAACGTTGCGCCAGCCACAGCCCACCCCATCATATGCACTAATTCATGGATGGGCTATAGGACTGGAGCAGTTCTTGCACGTGTGCATGCGAGCAAGCTTTTGGTTTAAGCGCCGACTCATTTCCCTCAGCAGAAATACATTATGTGACTTTCACACGATACCACACTCAATCGTCTGTTTCACTTCACCACTAGGTTAATCGTCTACGTAGGATCTCTTGGCCTGTTATGCTCGAGACGCTCAGTAGCTCCGATGTAGAGGTCGCTAATCAGCGTGCTATTCTGATAATCATTGACCATCAGTTAGTACTTGAGATAGTGAATAAGCTCGCAGGCCTGTGTAGACTTCAAGCAATTTTCTTGTGGAAAGGGCGGGGTCGGGAAATTTGGACGATGGGATAAGGCGGATTTTTATATTTTTTAAAAAAGTTACAGCACTAACCAGGGCATATAGAAGATAAGCATTGCACATTGTGCTGTGTGCCGCGATTTAGTAAAGCTATTCTACGTTTTTGTCGGCTTTTCCTCACTGCGGTGTTACACAACCTCGTGGAAGTCATATTTCGATGTCATCTTTAATTGTCATGCTATCTTTCAAGGCCACTAATCTAGGGTTACTTAGGTCATTGACATTATACCAGATAACTTCGAGCTCCGTTTTCCCAGAGGCACATTAGGAGCGTGAATTGTTGTTTTCACCCTACGTTTTTCACAACACAATCATTATTGCCGAACGTACCACTTTAAGGTTTAGCTCGCTACACGTCGATGGTATGGCGGTACTGTGTTTGGTCACGAGGTTCAAATGTCTAGCTATTTCCAGAGTTCGGCAATCAGTTAAGTTCTCGGCAATATGCATGCAAACTACGACAACTGTTGATGGCCTGACATGATCCCCAACCAGAGGCGGCGGATTAGCCGGGGAGGCCGGGCTAGGAGGAGCCTGACCCTACAAACCCTGGCAGCATTTAATGTAAGCCCTACGGTGGCGCACGCAAAGAAACGAGGCGAAAGTCACCTCTCCATCCCCCCCCCCCCCATCTTCACAGAGGTTCACCGTCAATGCCTTGAACATGGAATGAGCTGCAAACGGTGTCGTTAAATGTTGTTTCGGAATTGCAGTAGCAATCAAACGGCAACTCAGTTTCTCCAACTCTGTTGAGTTCCAAGGTTGCCGGATGATGTCGACTGCCGTAGAGCTAAGCTGACGAAGAGCCCCTCCGCTGTCAGGGATCATGCTAAACTTATGTGTGGGTCAAAACCCATCCACCCCTATTGCGGCCCAGCTCAATGGCTCCATGTTGTCTCACTGTCCACCCCATTTCTTACTCTTTTTAGTAATTGTTACAGCAGCTGTATGCAGCTGTTTCGGATATTTGAAGGTCCCGGTATGAGATTAAGTATCATTGTAGTACTTGCAACCCCAAATATAGGAGCATTGATTAGCACTCCTTGTTGGGCTCCTGGACAACCTCAATGTCGATTTGAGCACCTCCCAATGCTGGTTTGGCACTTAATAATTCCTGATCGATTACAACAATGCTGGGGTGAACTTAAGCACCAAGCAAAGGTTACCTTCGTTGGACGTTCCTTGATTCCCACAACTACTGGGCTGCTGAATAGAAGGACTATTTCATAAATAATGCATCATTATTAAGAAATATAAGCGTTCATGGAAATAATATGAGACAAGACCGTTTCAAAACACACTTTAAGTGAGGCTACGTTGCTGCCCAGTTGTCTCTGTTCCAAAATAATTTATACAATAGATATGACTGACCACGGATGAAAACAAGTCCGACATCGGTGGGTGGCTGCTGTTCCTTTTCGTGGTTTCCGATTCATGTAGCATTCATAGGCGTAGAGACAGGTGTTTATGGGTGTAACAGCGCTCCCACTTTCCGAGAACGCCGAACATTAAGCTTACGGGAAAGAAGCTACTTCAAACTTGGTGTTGTTCTCTTACTCTATGATACGTTCCTTCACCTAATGCAATATAGTTGACTTAGCTGGATCCTCTCTCATCGATCGCCTTCCCACCGTAAAATTCTTTTGAGACGTATTTCAAGCTAAGTGTTTTGATTAGAGCAATCACTCCATCTTATAGTAGCCTCAATGCACCGTAAAAGCGTCCCAGCCGCAAAAGGAATTGCATGGATCCCTGCCTACGACCCATGTCAGCACTTGTAGTTCGTAAAGCGTCCAACAGATGACTCGCGGCACCGGCGGCTGGAGGCAACCAACGCTCATTTGGAGTTTGCTCAATGTCAGGCTAAGAAACGTTTCGCAGAACAAAAGGCATACAACGCTTATGGCTCATTTAATTTCAGATCGTGCAACACACTAAGTTTTCATGTTATATTATGTGACTTCTTTCAAGGCGGTAACGCATGCATCTGGCTGATACACAGATCTATGTATCCCATAGCTTGTCAGCATAACTCTTGGATTTTCTTGTTCGCTAGGTTGCACACTCAGGGTAAGAACAGAGTGTACTGATTCCTGTTTTTCTTGGGTACTGCTGCAGAACAGCTGCAGAGATGCAGCCAGTCTAGGCTATAAGGGTCCTCCAATTTTCATGTGCGTACGATGCGCAAGGATGACGTCAATGGCAAGGCTTGCTTCAAACCTTTTTCTGGTGCATCTCTCCACATGCCCTGCTGCTTCAGCTCCGCGCATTCATCCGCTGCGGGCAAGACCATTCCATAAATGTTTATCTGTCCGTGCGGGGCTCCGGTACGGTCAGCTGGTCACCCTCCCGCGATCGAGGCAAGGACGCCAGAACCGCCTGCCCGCAGCACGACAGGAAAGCCGATGACGAGTACGGATCCAGGCTTCGTGTTAAGGTTGTTCCGAGATCATGCTGTGGCATCGAAGAAAATAAAAATCCTCTTCGCTGGGCTCGAACGCCACTTCACACTCCAATGCCGCAATCCGGACCATCCTGGTCGCCAGGTGTTATAATAATTCTCTTTCCACACGAAACTGTAAGTCGTTACGGTGGAAAGCATGCTGCACTTTGCGAACTGCTTTGAAAAACAAGCAAAGTAAAGGGATGTTGGAAACTTGAGAAGCATCGGTCGCATCCCAAATATAAATACACAGGGGTGAAGAGTGCGAGCACATGCGAGAGGACCAGGAGACTGGGGAACGCGCCATACACTTGGTTTCCACCCTCCAAACTTTTCGCTCTGAATTTTGCCCGTGCAAGTCTCAGAGAGGTATTCCTTTTTGTATTAGGATTTAAGTGTCCATTTTAAAAAGGAATACCATGTTACATCATTTACTTTATCTGTTTCTTACTATTTGTCTAACTTAAAGCCTAACGTTGTTCTCACAGAACAACGGGCTGAGTCAGCTGAGTTGACATTAAAAGAAAAAGGTTTTGCGGATATTTAGATTTTACTGTCTGTATGAACATCAGTGCCAGTGGCAAGCCACATTAACAACTGCAATGCATGGGTGTGCGATTGTCACAAAGTGTTCCAAAATGAAGCCTTTCTATGGGTTAAAGGGAGTTTTTGGTGCGAATACTCGAGCTATAAACCGCCAAGAAAGCATCGTTCGTTATCAGGTATTCTTTGGCGTGGTCTGAGCACTTCGAAGAACATTTGTTTTATTGACTGATCACATTTACACAGGGATGTAGTTTCCTACTCAGCTGGGGAGAAGAAACTCCAGCCCTTCCCCTCCCCACCTCTTTAAGCGAAGCTACGCTCCTGCATTCGCGTCTTGATGCAAAACCTTTACGGTCCAAGACAAGAGGACGCACTCAACCCAATGTTGCGCTCTTGCCTTCTTACGCATCGAGCCAACAGTGCATGATCGGTTGTTAGAAGTGGCCGCCTCAGGTGCTCGCCTCCAGAAGTGGTGCTTCCCCAGGCTCACGAGACTTTCCCCAGGCTCACGAGACTTTCCCCAGGCTCACGAGACTCGTCGCTTCGGTGAACTCGGAATCCGAGGGCCGGCTGAATATCCCCAGGGTAATGAAACGCAAACTTCATCTAAAAAGATAATGTGAAAGTTTCGGGCTCGCAATAGAAAATGAGATGCGATAAGTCGACGAAGACATGGCTGAAGAAGCCACTGATGATCTAAGATGAAATCTCTAGACCGTCCCGTGAGTGGTGGCACACGCGCGTTGGTGTCACCACCACTAGGGTCGGTGGGGTCCGAACCCGGTTGACTTTCGGGAAGATCAGACTATTTTTGTGCTTTGACGGTATAAGATGACGCCAGAACGGAATCGGAACACAATAACATTTTAGACGTGACTACGCCCAGGTAACACACAAAAACGCACACACGCGCGCGCGCGCGCATGTGCTCAAGCGTGTACGCACGTATGCACACACACACTTGTGCGCGCACGCACACATGCACGCACCCTCTCACACACCCAACACGCACACACACACACACACACATGCACACACACGCACGCACGCACGCACACACGCAAGCACGCATGTACGCGTGCACGCGTGCACGCATGCACGCACGCATACTCGAACGCGCACACGCGGGTCAATGACAGGGACGACCAAAACGTGTCATTAGCCGAGCAACCGATAGCTTAACGGGGATGCATCCTAAGCTGCCCAGAGTCGGGGCGGTCATGCGAGCCACGGCTCACTCAGCCAGTCCCGAGCGGTGCTCGACTGTAGTCTGCGACGCTCGGTCCTGCAAAAGA